CCAGTGGTGAGCGCCAGCTTGATGAAGCCCTTGCGGCGCCGCACCTGCAGGGTGTGGGCCCCGGGGCGTGCGTCCAGAGCCTCCGGGGCGCCCCCCACGGCCAGCACCGCCACGTTGCCCCCCCCCTGGCGGCTCAGCACCGTCGTGGCGCTGCGCATGTCCGAGGGCACCAAGCCTGGCACGGGGCGGGGGGGTGCACAGGGGGCAGGGGCGTGGGGGGGCACAGGGTACGTGTGGCGTGGGTTCACTGTGTGGGTGAGTGAGTGACTGTGTGAGTGGGTGAGTGGCTGTGTGAGTGGGTGAGTGACTGTGTGAGTGGGTGAGTGGGTGAGTGAGTGGGTGAGTGACTGTGTGAGTGGGTGAGTGACTGTGTGAGTGGGTGAGTGACTGTGTGAGTGGGTGATTGGCTATGTGAGTGGGTGAGTGGCTGTGTGAGTGGGTGATTGGCTATGTGAGCGGGTGAGTGGCAATGTGAGTGGGTGATTGGCCATGTGAGTGGGTGAGTGGCTATGTGAGTGGGTGATTGGCTATGTGAGTGGGTGAGTGACTGTATGAGTGGCTGTGTGAGTGGGTGAGTGACTGTGTGAGTGGGTGAGTGAGTGGGTGAGTGGGTGAGTGAGTGGGTGAGTGAGTGGGTGAGTGGCTGTGTGAGTGGGTGGGTGAGTGAGTGAGTGACTGTGTGAGTGGGTGAGTGGGTGAGTGAGTGGGTGAGTGGGTGAGTGAGTGGGTGAGTGAGTGGGTGAGTGACTGTGTGAGTGAGTGACTGTGTGAGTGACTGTGTGAGTGGGTGAGTGAGTGGGTGAGTGAGTGGGTGAGTGAGTGTGTGAGTGGGTGAGTGACTGTGTGAGTGGGTGAGTGACTGTGTTAGTGGGTGAGTGACTGTGTTAGTGGGTGAGTGACCGTGTTAGTGGATGAGTGACTGTGTGAGTGGGTGAGTGACTGTGTGAGTGGGTGAGTGGGTGAGTGGCTGTGTGAGTGGGTGAGTGGCTGTGTGAGTGGGTGATTGGCTATGTGAGTGGGTGAGTGGCTGTGTGAGTGGGTGATTGGCTATGTGAGTGGGTGAGTGGCTATGTGAGTGGGTGATTGGCTATGTGAGTGGGTGAGTGACTGTATGAGTGGCTGTGTGAGTGGGTGAGTGACTGTGTGAGTGGGTGAGTGACTGTGTGAGTGGGTGATTGGCTATGTGAGTGGGTGATTGGCTATGTGAGTGGGTGAGTGGCTATGTGAGTGGGTGATTGGCTATGTGAGTGGGTGAGTGGCTATGTGAGTGGGTGAGTGGCTATGTGAGTGGGTGAGTGACTGTATGAGTGGCTGTGTGAGTGGGTGAGTGACTGTGTGAGTGGGTGAGTGACTGTGTGAGTGGGTGATTGGCTATGTGAGTGGGTGATTGGCTATGTGAGTGGGTGAGTGGCTGTGTGAGTGGGTGATTGGCTATGTGAGTGGGTGAGTGGCTATGTGAGTGGGTGATTGGCCATGTGAGTGGGTGAGTGGCTATGTGAGTGGGTGATTGGCTATGTGAGTGGGTGAGTGACTGTATGAGTGGCTGTGTGAGTGGGTGAGTGACTGTGTGAGTGGGTGAGTGAGTGGGTGAGTGGGTGAGTGAGTGGGTGAGTGACTGTGTGAGTGGGTGAGTGGGTGAGTGGCTGTGTGAGTGGGTGAGTGACTGTGTTAGTGGGTGAGTGACTGTGTTAGTGGGTGAGTGACCGTGTTAGTGGGTGAGTGACTGTGTGAGTGGGTGAGTGACTGTGTGAGTGGGTGAGTGGGTGAGTGGCTGTGTGAGTGGGTGAGTGGCTGTGTGAGTGGGTGATTGGCTATGTGAGTGGGTGAGTGGCTGTGTGAGTGGGTGATTGGCTATGTGAGTGGGTGATTGGCTATGTGAGTGGGTGAGTGACTGTATGAGTGGCTGTGTGAGTGGGTGAGTGACTGTGTGAGTGGGTGAGTGACTGTGTGAGTGGGTGATTGGCTATGTGAGTGGGTGATTGGCTATGTGAGTGGGTGAGTGGCTATGTGAGTGGGTGATTGGCTATGTGAGTGGGTGAGTGGCTATGTGAGTGGGTGAGTGGCTATGTGAGTGGGTGAGTGACTGTATGAGTGGGTGAGTGACTGTGTGAGTGGGTGAGTGACTGTGTGAGTGGGTGAGTGACTGTGTGAGTGGGTGATTGGCTATGTGAGTGGGTGATTGGCTATGTGAGTGGGTGAGTGGCTGTGTGAGTGGGTGATTGGCTATGTGAGTGGGTGAGTGGCTATGTGAGTGGGTGATTGGCCATGTGAGTGGGTGAGTGGCTATGTGAGTGGGTGATTGGCTATGTGAGTGGGTGAGTGACTGTATGAGTGGCTGTGTGAGTGGGTGAGTGACTGTGTGAGTGGGTGAGTGGGTGAGTGAGTGGGTGAGTGGGTGAGTGAGTGGGTGAGTGAGTGGGTGAGTGGCTGTGTGAGTGGGTGGGTGAGTGAGTGACTGTGTGAGTGGGTGAGTGGGTGAGTGGGTGAGTGAGTGGGTGAGTGAGTGGGTGAGTGACTGTGTGAGTGACTGTGTGAGTGGGTGAGTGAGTGGGTGAGTGAGTGGGTGAGTGAGTGTGTGAGTGGGTGAGTGACTGTGTGAGTGGGTGAGTGACTGTGTTAGTGGGTGAGTGACTGTGTTAGTGGGTGAGTGACCGTGTTAGTGGGTGAGTGACTGTGTGAGTGGGTGAGTGACTGTGTGAGTGGCTGTGTGAGTGGCTGTGTGAGTGGGTGAGTGGCTGTGTGAGTGGGTGATTGGCTATGTGAGTGGGTGAGTGGCTGTGTGAGTGGGTGATTGGCTATGTGAGTGGGTGAGTTGCTATGTGAGTGGGTGATTGGCTATGTGAGTGGGTGAGTGACTGTATGAGTGGCTGTGTGAGTGGGTGAGTGACTGTGTGAGTGGGTGAGTGACTGTGTGAGTGGGTGATTGGCTATGTGAGTGGGTGATTGGCTATGTGAGTGGGTGAGTGGCTATGTGAGTGGGTGATTGGCTATGTGAGTGGGTGAGTGGCTATGTGAGTGGGTGAGTGGCTATGTGAGTGGGTGAGTGACTGTATGAGTGGCTGTGTGAGTGGGTGAGTGACTGTGTGAGTGGGTGAGTGACTGTGTGAGTGGGTGATTGGCTATGTGAGTGGGTGATTGGCTATGTGAGTGGGTGGGTGAGTGGGTGAGTGACTGTGTGAGTGGGTGAGTGAGTGGGTGAGTGGGTGAGTGAGTGGGTGAGTGAGTGGGTGAGTGACTGAGTGAGTGACTGTGTGAGTGGGTGAGTGACTGTGTGAGTGGGTGAGTGAGTGGGTGAGTGGCTGTGTGAGTGGGTGGGTGAGTGGGTGAGTGACTGTGTGAGTGGGTGAGTGGGTGAGTGAGTGGGTGAGTGGGTGAGTGAGTGGGTGAGTGAGTGGGTGAGTGACTGAGTGAGTGACTGTGTGAGTGGGTGAGTGACTGTGTGAGTGGGTGAGTGAGTGGGTGAGTGAGTGGGTGAGTGAGTGTGTGAGTGGGTGAGTGACTGTGTGAGTGGGTGAGTGACTGTGTTAGTGGGCGAGTGACTGTGTTAGTGGGTGAGTGACCGTGTTAGTGGGTGAGTGACTGTGTGAGTGGGTGAGTGACTGTGTGAGTGGGAGAGTGGGTGAGTGGCTGTGTGAGTGGGTGAGTGGCTGTGTGAGTGGGTGATTGGCTATGTGAGTGGGTGAGTGGCTGTGTGAGTGGGTGATTGGCTATGTGAGTGGGTGAGTGGCTATGTGAGTGGGTGATTGGCTATGTGAGTGGGTGAGTGGCTATGTGAGTGGGTGATTGGCTATGTGAGTGGGTGAGTGACTGTATGAGTGGCTGTGTGAGTGGGTGAGTGACTGTGTGAGTGGGTGAGTGGCTGTGTGAGTGGGTGAGTGGCTATGTGAGTGGGTGAGCGACTGTATGAGTGGCTGTGTGAGTGACTGTGTGAGTGGGTGAGTGGCTGTGTGAGTGGGTGAGTGGCTATGTGAGTGGCTGATTGGCTATGTGAGTGGGTGAGTGACTGTGTGAGTGGGTGAGTGGCTGTGTGAGTGGGTGAGTGGCTATGTGAGTGGGTGAGTGAGTGGGTGAGTGGGTGAGTGACTGTGTGAGTGGGTGAGTGAGTGGGTGAGTGGGTGAGTGACTGTGTGAGTGGGTGAGTGACTGTGTGAGTGGGTGAGTGACTGTGAGTGGGTGAGTGACTGTGTGAGTGGGTCAGTGACTGTGTGAGTGGGTGAGTGACTGTGTGTGTGGGTGAGTGGGTGAGTGACTGTGTGAGTGGGTGAGTGAGTGGGTGAGTGGGTGAGTGACTGTGTCAGTGGGTGAGTGACTGTGTGAGTGGATGAGTGACTGTGTGAGTGGGTGAGTGACTGTGTGAGTGGGTGAGTGGGTGAGCGGCTGTGTGAGTGGGTGAGTGGCTGTCGTCATCGTCATCATCATCATCGTCGTCGTCATCATCATCGTCATTACCATCGTCATCACCATCGTCGTCATCATCGTCGTCATCATCATCGTCATCATCATCGACATCATCGTCATCATTATCGTCATCATCGTGTGGGAATTGATAGCAGCCAAATTCTCGAAATGCATCGAAATGCATAGACCCATAGAGACCCATAGAGACACATAGAGACCCACAGAGACCCATAGAGACCCACAGAGACTCATAGAGACCCATAGAGACCCATAGAGACACATAGAGACCCACAGAGACTCACAGAGACCCATAGAGACCCATAAACACACATAGAGACCCACAGAGACCCATAGAGACCCATAGAGACCCACAGAGACTCATAGAGACCCATAGAGACCCATAGAGACACATAGAGACCCATAGAGACCCACAGAGACCCATAGAGACCCATAGAGACCCATAGAGACCCACATAGACCCATAGAGACCCATAGAGACCCACAGAGACTCATAGAGACCCATAGAGACCCATAGAGACCCACAGAGACCCACAGAGACCCATAGAGACCCATAGAGACCCATAGAGACCCACAGAGACCCATAGAGACCCATAGAGACCCATAGAGACCCACAGAGACCCATAGAGACCCATAGAGACCCACAGAGACCCACAGAGACCCATAGAGACACATAGAGACCCACACAGACCCACAGAGACCCATAGAGACCCATAGAGACCCATAGAGACCCACAGAGACCCATAGAGACCCACACAGA